AGGAACCCAAGGGAACAATAAAAATAAATAATAATGTAGAAGAACTGACTGACCGATTTTACATTTGTGTTGAACAGAATCCCAATCTTGTTGTTTATGCTGGCCGACTGAGTGAGTCAGTGCAGAAGATTTCCAAACTACTTTCAGGTTGATGAAGGCGTATCTCGCCATTCCGATCCTCTCTGGCCTACTTTGACATCTTCATACGTCCCGCTGGCCTGTAGTTGAAACGATGCTTCCTGACCACATAAGTGAAGGAGATAATCGCTGTTATATCTCTCCTGTTGATGGTGATTGGTGCTGGTTGTTGTTATTGTTGCTGCTGTTGGTTGGTTGGTTAGTTGGTTATCTTCATCACCTTCGTCTTCTCTATGTTCGCCAGGAGTCCTGTCTTCACCATCTGCCAGCCTCTTCTGCCAGTTTGTTGGTTTCTTCCTGCAAGTCTTCGAGTTTGTGTGACATTTAACATAAATCATCCACAACCTAAATCCGCAACTTCTAGAGTCTTCGTGTCGATGGTCCGGCGTATTCCTGTCATCCCACTCCCATACACAGTCTGACGCATAATCCGGTCCATCACAATTAAGAATATCGTCGGTGATGATAGGCAGTCGGCCTTGTCTTACTGCTGTATTCACTTCGAATGCCTGTCCGAGTTTTCCAATGTGGATCACCTGACATGTGTCATTGTCACATAGCCAGCCAGCTGTTGAATGATGTTGATAAAGACTTGGGGACTGCACGTCGTAGTGTGGAAACAGTTTCCAAATTACGTCTCGGTCAATGCTGTCTGTCGAAGGCCTTTTCGAAGTCGATGAAGTTGATGTGTGACTGTCATGCTTGATTTGTTCAATGATGATGCGTAGAGTTGCAATATGATCAGCACATGATTTGCCTTTCCTGAATCCAGCTTGTTCTGGTGTGGCTGGCAGAGTTCTGTATCCAGTGCATCTTTTATCCTCTCCAGGATGATGGGACTTAGTATTTTACTTGGCGTGGACAACAGCATTATTCCACACCAGTTCTTGCACAGGTCTAAATCGCCCTTCAGCTTGACAAGGTGGCCAGCCCTTATTCCAGTCGGTAGGTATCTTTCCTTCCT